TAGGATCCATGTGAGTCTCTTGTTTACCATTCGTTCCATTACTTTGCATAGACAGCTGGTTAAAAATATTGGTCGGTAGCTGGATGGATGACGTTTATCTTGACTACCCTTCAATATTGGGACTACTATAGAGTCGTTCCAGCTGCTAGGGAAGTTACCGCTAAGCCAAATATGATTGTAAAAATTTAAAAGCCAGTTCAGTGTATTTTTCGGAAGATGTTGTATCATGGAGTAGTATACATTATCTGGTCCTGGTAAAGATCCTTTGACAGTTTGGAGTATTGATTGGAGTTCCCACATGCTGAATGGAATGTTGTAATCTTGATATGCATTATCGTCAGAGAAGTTTAGATCTTGAGCCATATTATTTCTAGAAGTCGTTGTGTAAACTTCTGAGTAATATTCGGCAAATGTTCTTCCAACAATGTCTGGGTTATCGCATAGTTTTCCATCGCATATCACAGTACATTTGTAGGAAGAATTGGTTCCTCTTATCTTCCTTATTTTGTTCCATACAACATTACAGGGAGTAGACGAGTTAATGGACTCAACAAATGATTTCCATGATTCTTTTTTCTTGTTATTTATAATTCTTCTGCAAACAGCCCTTTGTTTTTTATATTCAATGTGATTAACCTGATTCATATTTTTCTTAAATGTCTTAAATGCATTTCTCCGAAGTTGTATGGCTTGTATCTTGCAATCACTATCGAACCAGGGGACAGGTGTCCTTTTGTAATGGTCTTTGGTTTTAGGGATTGAGAACTCTGCTGCCGTAATTATTGTCTCAGTTATAGATTTGCTATGGCTATGGCTACGCCTCTACACGCTCGCTCGTAATCTGGACCACAACCTGTCCTATAGATATTGAAGTATTTAAGGGTGAATTCGTTCGTAAAACTTCGTAAATAGTTTCATCTCATCGTAACCTACCACTATTTTATTTATGGAAACTCTTGGAATCGTGACGTTTTCAATCTGGAGGAGGGCAAACTTTGTCTATTTAATTAGATACTAAAAACTCGTAAATACTCATGCTTTCTACTTAGATCGTAAGATAATTTGATATCACAATCGAGAAAAACGGTGGCCCTCAAAAATATTGATCCGTTTTGAGTGACCTGCACTCCCAAATATTCAAAATAACGAGGTTATATAGGACAAACGGCCCAAAATATATAGCCCAATATTTTTGCAGGGCACCTTTTTTTCTCGATTTTGTGATCAAATTATTTTACGATTCACGTAGAAAGCAAAGTATTTACGAGATTTTAGTACCTAATTAAATAGACAAAGTTTGCCTCACTCCAGATTGAAAACGCCCCTATTTCAAGAGTTCTCGTAAATAAAATAGTTGTAGGTTACGATAAGATAAAACTATTTACGAAGTTTCAGGCGGATGTTAATAATTCGGTAAAAACGGGTCTATACCACGAACTATACTCCCCTGAAAATCTGTAATCTTCCGGTTGCTGGTAACTGGGTAATGAAAGTACGTGTGATTTTCAATATTTCAACATTATGAGTGTCTATCCTACTGAGTTATCCTTATTTATAATCTGATTTATCTAATATAGATCTCTTTTCCACCTCAAAAAAGCGAAGATTTTTGAGAATCTTGGTGTCAAAAACCGAAATCCCAAAAGAAATAATGTAATCAATTCGAGAGATATAATTGATCTATGTTATAATTACATAATTACAAATATTAGCGCTCAGTGATCGTAGAATTTGATACTATACAACCTTGACTCTATGAGTTTTTTTCTCCTAGGGAACTAATTTTCAAGCTACAGGGCTATTTATAGTAATTTGTTTCAGTTTTTCAGATTTTTTTGTAAAAATCAGACTGTCCTTTTTACTGAACCAAATTATAAAGTTTAGGTACTCTTTCGACGCAAAATTTAACGCTGTTTGATTTCTATAAGAGTACGTTTTTTGGTATGATGCAACGTTCAGGCAGCGAAAAAAAATCAGTTTTTTTTTGCTATTAAATGTTTTCCCTTAGTGGTCCGCTTGGGCAATTTTATTTTTTACTCGTATGAACCCATATATAAAAGTTAAAAGAATGAAAAGTTTTTCTACATGTTTCGTAATATATTTCCTTTTTTCATTCTTCGAATTAGTAGCCTAATATTCTTCAAATCAGTCACCTTTTGTGAAGCAACTGATATGGAATGGCAGACGAGATTTGTATTACTTCGAATAACTTTCAATTTCGTAATATAGATTTAAACCTTTTTCAACGATGAGGTCACTTTTAGACCTTTACTATGTTGGGTCTCCCTCACACCCAGCACACACAAGATTGATCTCAAGAATCTTATTGTGCAGTCCGCGTTTCATCAGAGAATATCATCTCGAAAATAAGCATTTTTCCATCCTTGCCACGTATCCTGGCCATAGTATCCACCCAAGGTTGGCTGCTTTCTAAAGCTGAGGTATTGAAGAAAGTGTAAGGTAATAACGTTTTATCCATACCTTGTCCTTGATCCATGAATCTTCCGTAAAAATTTCCTCTCAAATAGCAGTATTTCTTCATCGGCCTTTATTACAGTCCGGCCTTTGTGCCATGCAGTTGAAACGAGTGTAATATAGAGTATCACCTTTGATTCTTTCTTGAGACTTCTTCTTTAGGCGACAGTAGCAACCTGCTAGGACATTTGATTTTTCATTTTATCTCGGCCCACATATAAACAAAACAGGCAACGTCTTCAACATAAACTGGCATTCTTGAACCAGGTGTTACATTTTACTTTACCTTTAATATTTAATATTTTAATTTAATGCAGTCATTTTATGTAAATTTCATATTTTTTAAGGAGAATATCATTTCCAAAATTAGATATTTTATTTTACATATTTTTTTAATAACCAATATATTAATATACATCCGAGTATACAGAAAAAATAAATAAAATCTTCAATTGATAACTTTATTAAAATTATAAAGTACTTTAATACGCTTAAGTTTTCTATATCTGTCTGGTATCACCTATTCTGAATCCAATAATAATATTTACCATTTTGCGTTTTGTTTTTCTAGAATAATTCACTGTATTAAAACTATATGTAGATATAAGAAATATATCACCATAAATATACAATTATCATTAAGAATCTTTCAGTTTGTAAGAAGGAGAAAATTCAATAATGATCTGAGATTAAGATTGTAAGATGAATAATGAAAGGTAGAATGGTTTTTTTTAAGAACTCCAAAAATTTAAAAGTCTCTTAGGCGTGATTCTGTAGATTTAATGCCTCCTAAATCTAATCTATTGTGGGATTATGGGCTTTTGATCAAGCCATTAATAATTCTGCCAAAACGTTATTTATTGATGTTTCGAATATTACACTGATAGTAATATTTATTTTTTAAAATAAAGTGTAATAAATAATATGATTTTTTTTTTTATATCACTCAAATATTTCAATTATCTATTGAATTTTAAATTAATCTGTATTTTGTGTAACAAATTTAAATTAAATAAAAAAATTATAATTTTTAAGTTCCCTTTAATGATTACTGACTCATATGTTTTGTTCATGATGATTTACCTAATATTAATTCCACTTATTTAGTTCAATCATTTATTTAAAAAAGACTGCTAAATCACATGATTAACCTTAGGAATATTTTGAAATAGGATTTTTTAAAGTATTTGTTCTACATTACGAGTCTGATTTCTTCAAGGAAGTGTTTTTTGTAACTGGTATTCTTTATGTTATGTATTTTTTTTAATGTTGAAGGCCACTTTAATCGAATTTCGCTAAAATATTATAGAAATAAAAAAAAAAAACTCAATTCCTTAGACACCAAAAACAGGTATGCTTAGGAAGGAAATCGTTTTCGAGAGTGGACAAATTCCAATACCTCGTATCCACAATAAGCACAAGTGGACGTATTACAAGTGAAAACAGGGCTTTCTCTCTTTCAAAGGTATTCAAATTCGGGGAAAAAATAAAGGTGTTCAATTCTATGATATGAAGTAGTTCTGATAGAAAGCTACAAGACCTGGACCCTAACCATCACATTAGAAAGAAATATTGAAAGATTTGAGAGAAAAATCCTCCAAACTGTAACTGGAGCGATCTATAATCAGATTAGTAACGCATCCGAGGAAATGACCACATATTACCAATTGCTTACAAAAATTGGTTAATCAACGTTTTACGATATGAGGATGTTAATGTGGTATGGGCACATAGCTCGGAGCTATCCGTCAGGAAGATTTTACACTAAAAACAATGTTAGCCAACATACTACGCGGAAGACTAGTGTTGCCCAAAATCGGTCTTCGTCTTGCACTTTGCAAGAACAAGACCATGACTGGTAAAAAAAGTCGACTTTTTAAAATAAAAATTAAGGCAAAAAGTTACTAATACTTGACAATCTTAGTCATTACATGGTAATAATTGGTATAACCAATATACCTTTGCATTTAGCTCCTCTAATTTTTCATTCGGGCTTAGTTAGGTTTCTCCTATCTGAAAAATTACAGTAATATCTATATAGTAATAAGCTAATAAGTAACTGCAAGACTTTTGCGAGACTCTTGTGCAAGACCAAGACCATTACCAAGACTGAGTTTGCAAGACCAAGACTCCTCTCGGTCTCGCATTAGGGCAACACTACGAAAGACCAAAAATTCAGATGGATATATCGAATCAACAAAGATTCTGCAGAGCAGCCTGCAGACAACTGGAAATAAATAAGCTCCTTCTGCATATCTATCCAAGATATAAAGGGATAAAGAAGACTGGTTAAGACGAAAGAATGTCTGAAAGATCAATAAAGCCAAAAGGAAAAAGAAGAAATATTTATTGGGAAGCAAACTGATATGAACAGATTTCATAAAATTTATTACCATAGTGTCAGTGAAAATAGTGATTCTAGAACCTTTAATAGTTTCCTTTAGCTCCATATGAAAAGTTATATAGCCGACCACTTTGAGAATAATAAAGGTTATCTTTGCCTCGTGTTCTATCTGGGTTTATAGGCTCTGTCATTACCGAAAGCCATCAAACTGCGCGATATAGAGTCCATATCACGCGGCCGGCGGTAGGTGCAGCTGCTCCAGACCGGCGATTAAAGTACCATCTGCAATATCGTCTCGGGTTTTCGATCTATTCCAGGATATTCAGAAAATAGTGAAAGGACATCTATGAATAATTAATCATACTAAAATTATAGTTTTAATTAAAAATACCCAACAACTTGAGAGAGCCCCAGGGTCGTATCCACATCCACTCAGCCGTAAATTAAAACTAGCTCAATCATAGCATTAAATTCTTAATTTGAAGTTGCTAATTAATATCTTCGTACTAGGTTAATTTGATTTATTTTCCTTTCTTATGTACATATTGTGTGAACGAATACTATACTCAATAAAATATACTAATTAATTTTTCGGGATATTTATACCGTTTAAAGAGGAAGACTGCGTTACTCTGTTCTGTTCTCGACAGTTGTGTTTACTGAGGTTATCGTGGAGGCTATATATTTAAATTCGATTATTCAAGGAGAATTCCCTTCTACACAAATATTGTTATCAGGGATCGGAGACGTATTATTATTGTGTATTTTGTTTTATCTTCATTTAGTTGTTAGGCCGATTTCACCTAATCGTAATGGTTATCCCTTATTTGCGTGTTTAAAAGTCGCAAATCAAAGGAAGTCTTTGACTCCTTTCTTGGCACCACCCCATTGATGTTGAACTCTGGGGTGGAGTGACGAATTCCGGTGAAGGGGCATTTAACTCCTATATTAATCCCTCACCTTCTTCTCTCACCCGGGGAAAAACAGGAAAGCCGAAAAGGCACGGTGAGGAGAGGGGGAGTGAGATAAAAAAGGTTGATGAGAACTCAAGAGCAAGCTGTACTATCAGAAGGCCTCCTGAAAGGAGGTGTCTAGAAGCGTTCCTAGAACTCGGAGGAAAAAGAAAAACAACAAGCCAACTGAAGCTATTAATGTACCAACACTTGCTTTATTCCTTCTCCTACTTGTTGCTGAAGTTAGTTTAAAACTTCATGACGGGCATTCAATATAAGACGCTAACTTCAGTCCTCACTTCTTTATCCTCTAAACTGATGACTAGGGCCGGACAATTTTTTTCTACCGATTTAAAATCGACTAAGAACGTTTTATTTGACATCAAATATTTTTTCATCAACAAATTGTATTCTGCTGTTGTTATTTTTTGAAACTATTCTGCTAATTTTTTATCGATTATTCAGAAAGTCAATATAAGAATCCTGATAGCTCAAAGTCACCTGACAATGGACCGCAGTCGAGGATTAATGAAAGAGATTATCTGATATGGGGAAGAAGGAGATGGAGACGTAAATCACATTGGGTAGATAGGAAACCTGGCGCTTACAGTAATGGATACCCAACCTCTCTAGGGCACGCTCGAGAGCTGTTGGTGTAAGTTGTAAGTATCGAGGACCACTTCACATTTGAATATCCAGCCAGTTCTTGTCTTTAACATCGATTGGAGGTCTTCATGGCCTCTCTGTTTTGCTTAGTCACCCGCTATTTGATAACTGGTTATAAATGTTTCCACTTGCGGATCTACTGGGAAGGGCTTGTGCGTGTATTCACTTTTTTTTTTTTTTTAATAGAGCTTGAATAATCACTTAAACGTCTTTTCATATAGGTACTTAGTTTCTTAACCTCCTATGTATATAAATCTTTCGGATAGATCTGTTTTTTCGCTCTATCAAATATTTTTTGTTTAGGATTAGGTGTCATATTGTTTGTAATCAACACATAATTGGCTAACCAACTCTCTTAGGATATTTTTTAATATCATTTCATAAATCAAAAATAAATATATTATATTTTTTTATCATGAATTTTCAGTATTTTGTTCTCACAATTTTTTCAAAACTTTCACAGTAATCTGCCAGAATTTTCAACACAAATTCTTTTAAAACACTCACGGAATCTCACCGAACAATTTAATATATCAAACATAAAATCGACCTACCCGTTTGCTTTAGAGAGGGACTTAAGACCCAAGGGATCATCAAATTAACAATGGAGCTTCTTAGTGATGTTGGCAAAAATAAACATTTAGGTTGTTGTCGAAAATATGGATAAAACCTAATCAACTTTTATAATAGCGAATAAAAATAAAGTTATCTGTCATGCTTAAAAATAGATCTCTTTTCAATTTCTTTATTCTCAATGAAACTTCTTATACCGAAGGAAACCTTCAGCAAACTCTCAACGACATGTTCCGAAAGTAATTTCCTCTTGCGAGGTTTCCCTTGACTAAATTTGTTTTAAGTAAAATATATTTTTTATCGTATATGTACTGCTTAAAAAGTATATTTTATTTACTTTCATGCCATGTTCTGGTTCATTCCTATAATGTCCAACGGTTGGATATATGATATTATTACTACTGTATTGCTTACTATACACCTAATGAAGAATCTAGAACCAAGTAAGTATATTCAAAAACAGGAAGGAACTAACTTTACTTCGGCTGAAGCTTATTATACTCTACTAATATAATTCAGCTTCCGAATCAACTTAATCAGAAGCACACCTACTACAGATCTTTATTTACCGAACTACTGTCATTTTTTCGTGAATTCTCAATTCGTCATGTACATGTTAATACAATACAGTATTCTTTATCATAATACCGCCGCCCAAAAAAATGGTTTGTTCTGCTTGGACTTTCACCATATAAGCCACGTAACATATCAGAGCCCGATGTGGGAGTTATGCCTTACATTTTCCACAGAATAAAATATCTTCCATTATACACTCAAATTTTTAAATTCACTATACCGTACAGTATAAACTATAATGAAAAGTATTTACTAGATAGGTAATTGTCATTTAGAAATTAAGTTAAATTATATAATTAATGTTTCTTCTTCTTCTTCTCCGGCTTTACAGTCCAAGGTGAACTTTGGCCTCTCCAACAATGTTTCGCCATATTTGTCTGTCCATGGCCCATCTCTTCACTACAATTTTATTAAGGTCCTGTTCTACGTCCTTAATCCACCATCCACGTGCCGTCCAATCTTTCTTTTTCCTGGGAACGTTTCGCGCAGAACTTTTATGGGCATTCTTTCATCTGGCAATCGCTCGGTATGATCGAGCCAACTAATTCTTCTAGATTTAATGAACCTTACAATATCTGCATGATGTATCAGGCCATCCAATTCTTGGTTACACCTAATGCGCCATGTGCCTTGTTCATTTATTGGACCAAACATACATCTCATAATTTTTCTTTCGAATATTTTAAGTGCTTGCTGGTCGGCTAATTTAAGCGTCGACGTCACTGCATCAAAGCTCAAAACAAGCCTGATAATGGTGTTATATAATTTGAGCTTTGTGCGTTTTTAGAATAGGGCAGATTTAATCAACCTAGAGAGACCTTGTATCAACCTAGAAACGCTTTGTGTCCAGGACATTGTTATTTTTATTAATTTAAACTGAATTTTAAATTCTTTTAGGGCATTAAACAGTTTAACTCTATCTGCACGATCAAAATCTTGCTTAAAGTCAATAAACAGCTTGTGGATATCCACATTAAGCTCATAACACTTTTTTTTATCAAAGTCATCGGGGAGTAGCGTGAGACGAACTCCCCCATCTTGTAAAAAGCTAAACTTCCAGGTAAATATATGAATAGTTAATTGATCAATTGTAACCTTTTAGCGATGGCATCTTTGACGACTGCTATGATCAACTGCACAGTCTTGCGAGAACCGAACCAGGATACAAAAGTTAACCAGCGGTTAGGGCTAAGTCCTTGCTGATTGTTCGTAAGCAGCTTACAGTTTGGCCGATGTTCTCAATTATAGGCCCCCCTTCTGGGATCTATATTATTATCAGAGTCATTGGACTACAGTGGCCTTAGGTGGGCCAACGTCACCATGCCTTGTTAAGTAAGACTCCGAATGTGATAATTAACGTTTGGAGCCTAACTCGTTATTACCTTTCTGTCCTAATATTATGTATTATTTTGTCCTAATACTAATCGCAGCAGCCCATACCTACAAACGGTATCTCAGCTCTCAATGGAATAACTCTGAGGGGTGATTCTAGACAAAAATTGCCCCCAAAAAAACAATTTGATGCAAGACCAATTTTGTGTGGTCACATTTTTTATTGAATAAGAATGTATTTCTCACCATCCTAAAGTAGACAAAATTCTTTTAAAGAAGAGAAAATAAATTTACTAAAGTCAATGATGAAGGAGGCTTTCAAGAAGTCTAATATGGCCGCTGTACTGCTGGAGTTACAGTACCCGTACACGAGCAACATACTCTGTATAGCTGTCGTATTAGAACTCCTTAAAGTCTCTTTTATCATTGGGCTTTAATAAATTTAATGACTGTTTTCTCAAATAAATTTTATCTATTTTACGACGGAGTTCTTAAAATTCAATTATTTTCAACAGTTTTTGAGTAATTTCTTCATATTCAATAAAAAATGTGACCACACAAAATTGGTTTTAACGTATTTTCTGTTCGGAATCGGCCCCAAGAAGACCGGTACTGATAAAAAAAATCAATTTAAAAAAAAAAAAATGAAGGCAAAATAGTTACTACTACTTGCCAATCTTAGTTACTATATGTTAATAATTGGTCTAACCTATACACTTTTGCATTTAAATCCTCTAATTTTTCATTCGGCCTTAGTTAGGTTTCTCCTGTCTAAAAAATTACAGTAATATCTCTATAGTAATAAGCTAATAAGTAACTGCAAGACTGTTGCGAGACTCTTGTGCAAGACCAAGACCATTACCAAGACTGAGTTTACAAGACCAAGTCTCGTCTCTGTCTTTCATTTTGGCAACACTGCATACAATATTGTAGTAAAGTCCCTTAAATAACTTCGCCTAATAAAGATGGTTTTAGGTATCTGAAGAAACGTAGGAAAGCTAACGAAATATAACTAATTATTTACAAAGCGAACCCTAATCATCTTTGAGAATTTTCAGAAAAAACAAAAAAAAAAATACATTTTTTATTCAAATTTTGTTAGCAAAACCAAATATTAGAACAAATAAATAAAATGAGAAATTATTTGTTTGTAATACTTATTTTCGAAAAGTTAGAGTTTATTCAAGGAGTTATATTGAAGAAATTGTCGAAATCAAAACATTTGTATTAGTTTGTTGTTAAGTAGGAGTTAAACAGATTTCCGAAATACCAGTATTAATCTACTTAAATTTCAATAGTAATTAAAAACATACATACATATGTTGCACGACATCCCGTTACCGAGACTGGGCCTCCTCCAAGAGCCTCAGCCAGTAGGCTCTGTCTTCTGATGCAGCTCTCCAGTTCGGTACACCAAGCAGGATTCTCGCATCATAGGCCACGTTGTCCAACCATCTCGTCCTCGGCCTTCCTATCCGTCTTCCGAGGTGCAGCTCCTCCATCATTATTTTCTTGGATATCTGGCCACATGCCCTCCCTGCCCACCTTAGTCTGGCCAGTTTAATATATGTGACTACGTCGATGTCTGTATAAAGAGAACTGAGCTCCCTATTTTTGCTTTTCCTCCAGACATCAGTAATTAAAAACAGTGAACTTAATCAAGGTATCTTCTAACTATATCATATTATGAATTGGAAGAAATGGATTTGTAATGAGAAAAATCTATAGGCATTATTAATTTAAGTTTATTATTTATTTTAAATAAAAAGGCTGCAAATTATTTCACATTGGTTTATTATTCACACACAATTATATATCTAAAGTAAAGTTTACCTTTCTAGTAACAAAGAAAAAGGAACAAAGGGTGATTCTGATTATTGGCCTAAACTTTTTTTTGCATCACTAGTAATTTGCTAAAAATAATAGCATTACTTCAGTAACACTTTCGAAAATCAAAAACCAAAACAAAATATATAACCTTTGGAGCAGAACATATAATAAATATCTAGACACCACACTTTACTCCAAATTGTCCGATTATAATTTGGAAATGCTCCAACAACTCCCTCCTTATAACACGCCGTCACCACAGAGTCAAACATGAACTGATGAGGCTCCTTGAAGAGAGAGAATACGCCTGTTTCGAGGAAGTATATTGTATAGATACGGATGGATCCACCCGATATGCCGACATTGTAGCATTCCCTAAGACGGGAAAGTCGGCGATGATTTTGGATCCGACCGTGAGATATGAGATCAACGACCTCGATTAGGCAGAAAAAGTGGAAAGGGAGAAAAAACAGACATATGAGAAATGCATCCCTTTCCTTAGTGAAAAGTTCCGCGAGAGTTTCGGGCCGAGAGAGTTCCACGTGAGAGGCCTTTGGTTCGGAGCTCGCGGAACGATACCAGACTCAACAAGGAGCTTCATGGAGGGCCTTGGTGTCGACATAAAGGACGTGGCAAGGTTGGCAGAGAGTATAATCCTCGACTCCCTGGGAATCATCCACCACCATGTGCATGGGAGCGGATAGGGGGAGAGTTTGCTCGCGGGGGGGGGGGAGGTTACAGTGTTACATTTTTATATTATTATTTATTGAACACGTCCACTGTACTTTATGTATTTTTTATGTATTAGGTTAGAAAGAGAGAGGAGAGAATGTGAGGAGTGGGAACATGTATAGGGGGAGAGAACGAAGAGAAAGGGTACAAAATGATAATAAATGAATGAAAGAAATAGTAAAAATTATAAAAAAAAAGGAGAAAAAAAGGAAAAAAAAATAATATATATATATATATATATATATATATATATATATATATATATATATATATATATACGTATAAAATATTGTATACTATGCTCATACATATTGTTAATCCTATATAATTGTATAATAATTGTAAATAATGTCTGTAGTGATTGATAAGTATGCTGTGTTGTTAGCAACCCAATGTAATTGGGCAGCACCATTTTATTTTATTTTATGATAATAAAGTGATTCTCTCTCTTGTTATGATTTTTGGGAAATTTTGTTAACTTTTAATACGTGAAAAACTGTATTCTTTTTGAGTTATTCAGAAATCTAATTTCACCAACCCTCATAACTTTTTTTCCAGCTTCTAGTCGGTGGAGTATGTTATATAGATAAAATAAATGGCATCGAGAAGAAGACTTTAGCCGAATTTCATTGAAATAGGTAAATACGTTTAGGCGCTACAGTCTATAGCAACACAGATTTTTCGACCGCCATTTTGAAAGGAAAAGGCGGATAATAATGTTCAATGTAGGAGAATCATTCTCTGGTGACCTCTATATCTGGTGACTGGTGACTGGTCTACCTGGTGACTTTAAATCCAAATTTGGAAAATAATCGGTCCAGTAGTTTCGAAGAAAATGCGAAGACGGCGGATGGCGGGCAATCAAAATGTTTTATTCGATTTTTGAGTTTTACGTATACTGAAACCTAAAACCTCAAATTGTGAGGGGTAAGTTTTTTAATTTTTTGGTCGATTAAAATGGTTCATTATTGAAAATAATAAAGTAATATATAAAATGAGTTTTCATCAGAAACTTACTTTTTTTTTTTTTTTACTGCGAATTCGATTTTAAGCGTAAGAAATTTTATAAAAAAAAAAAAAAAAAAAAAAAAGGAGAAAACTCATGAACTTAACAATTATATGAAGAGTAAGCTTAGTGTTCTTCCTTCAAAGATTATTTTTCTTTGATGTTACCTCTCTGCACCGAACTGAGCCTCTGTAATTTCCATAATTAATTTCAGCCTTTTCCACCATCCTAATAAAATTTATAGGGAACACTCATTAATAGCTAATTACCTCTTCGATTAACGATGAGGAAATATCTACTATATATACACTACTGAGAGAGTATCTTTTTAATAAAAATATCCACATTTTGTGGACGTGTCTCAATTTTCTTGGTTTTTAATACCGCCCTAGCCATAACTGTGATGAACTTTCTACTCACCTCTGGATTGTATACTTCACTCTTTATAAATGAGATAACTACAAACCTAGGTATTATTCACTAACCCTTTAGGTCTTAGCGAATATTGTACTAAGTATGTATAGCCTAGTACATAGGTAGGAAATCTTTTTATCATTACAGACCGCAGTAAGATTAGGCAGTGCTTATGAGGGCTCCAAATTTGTATTGCTTTTATTATTATTAATAACTAAAGACACAATCTCCTCCCATATAATAGAGTGTATAAAAAAATATTGAACGTTTCATCAAATTCAACATTTCAAAGGACTGTAAATATTTTAATCTTATTATATACTTAATAATCCCTTTAGAGCATTCTCTAAGCTTGTTTAATCCCCTTGGAATTCTTCAAAAAATGTTTTTGTTTAGTTCTTTCTTTCAAAGAAGAAACATGATAGGGTCCAACGAAATTCTCATAATTTTAAGGTATTACTGGAAAAAAAAAATCACAGCCGCTGAAGCAGCTCGTGGAATTATTAAATATGAAGGGGAGGTGTCCTTGACCAGCGCACTGCGCAGCGTTGGTTTGTAAAATTGAGCAATGGAGATTCGACGTTTGAAGAATGGCTCCGGGCGACCATTAATGGATGTTGATGAGGTTCTGCAGGAAGCTGTTGATTCAAATCCGTCGATAAGTACTCGCGAACTTGCCAGGAAGTATGATGAGTCGAAAGGTACTGTACTGTAGCTCCCATCTACTCTACATGAGGAAGGTGAAAAAGAGCAGTGGTCCCTCACGAACTCACTCCTCAGCAATCAGCAAAGAGGTTAGAAATTTGTCAAAAACCTTCTGATATGAGAGTTTACTGGTAAATTGGTAGATATGTGATGAAATCCAAACACCAGTGAGCAACGGGTAGATAGCAGTTAAACTGCTTTCCCCGTTGCTAGAAAGATGCATTTAGAAAAAAAAATCCATGCTTTTTAATTTTAAAGGTGTTATCCATCACGAATTAGTTCCTGGTACTTTATGAATTCTGAACTCTAATGGGAACAACTGGAAAGATTGCGAAGTTGTCAGAGCGTTATCCTGCATGGATCAACCGAAAAGGAATATTATCCCAACAAGATTAACAATTGTCTTCTCATTCCCTTCGAACCAAAGAAAAGTTTAAAAACTCCATCGGTTCGAACTGCTGCTTCATTCAACATATAGGCCAGACTTCGCACCCTCGGATTACTACTAATTTTGATCTATGGCCCATTTTCCTTAAGGAAAAAAAAATTGATAATTTTGCAGAAGTTGAAATGGAAATCCAAGAGTTCTTTGACAGCCATCCCAAAGAATGATATGAGCGTTAGATCGAGCAATTGGCAAATGACGGTAGATAACAATGGACTATAGTTAGATTATTAATTGTATTTTATATGAATGGAATAATATTACGAATATTTGATTGAAAAACGTTGATTTTTTTATACGCCCTATTACATATAATCAATTTATTCTATTATTTTTTTTATAAATTTTCGTATCACAATTAATAAATTCTACTAAGATTAATACATATTCCTCAAAAACGTTAGGAGGTCACAAATACTTCACAGAGGCTTCTGGTTCTCACCTACGGCCTAGTGGATAGTTTTATAGGTAGCTTATTCGTATTTTACTAGATATTCTCCAGCGATAGAAGCTAAGTACGTATTAAGCAAACATTTATTCAAATCAATGAGCGAATTGCAAAAAAAAAGAGGCCTAAAATAATCAAGTTTTAAAACTCCAACCACCAAACGTTGAATCTCCAATATGCAGATGAATTGTTAATCTGATGAATTATCAGTTATGGCTTAAATTTTATATTTACATCGTAACTGTTATTTGAATAAATTCATTATTTATGGAGCTTCACTAATTGTATGTGTTGAATAGGCTTTCTTGTAAACAATATATTATTTATACGAACGGTTTGCACGGTTTCTCATACCACATGTATTTCGAATTCATTGAGAAAAATGAGGGTAGATATCTAATGCGAGATTTACCGCATTATATATTAAGCCATTATTGAGTGTATGGTACTTAATTTATTTTTAATGGATTCAATGAAAGATTCAAAATAAAAATTCGAAAAATTAAAATTGTTTGTATTCCTTCATTATTTATTTTTATATATTTCATTTTAGTTTGGTTTTAGGCTTCAGTCATCCTCTTGTTGGTATAGAATCATCTCATTTCCTAAAAGCTAAGCCATGCCCTATCATTCACCTGAGGTTTGGTTGCGGTAATATTTTCTCAAGAGGAATACGTTGATACAGCATATTTTCAATCTCCTCTTCGTGTTTTTCTTCCATATTAGTATTTTTATATATATGGATTGACGATAAGAGATAGTGAGTAAACTCATATGCTGAGAGAAGAAGAAGAAGACTAAAAAGTCATTTAATTAATTAAAATTACATAATATAAATTAAAAGACAATACAAAATAATATTTTTGGATCAATCAGATGTGCTACATGGTCTGTTGACCGTCAGGGGAGTCTGTGTTTTTTGGTGTGTTTTTTTTTAGCTTTCTTATGAATTGACCAAACACATGGGTAAACTGGACCTCCCTCATGTACTGAATTTAGGTTAATTGGATTACATGAATTATGGTCCAACAGACAGAAAGCGATATCGACAGATTATTGCAACCGACATAAAGTATCATCTGACAGTCAACCAGCATCTATATATTGGGTACTTTTAATAAAGTAATTTATTATGAGGGAAAATCTGGCGGTTGAATATGATTCCGAATCGACCACCTCCTTGCACAATTATTTGGCCTTGAAGCAGAATTTCCTTACAAGTTACTGAGGCCAAGACACTTTGTGGGTTGTATTGGTACAGGTTTTGTTTCAATACATTATGCAAAACCAGAGCCTTTGTCTTCATCCATTGAATATTAAAACATTTTTTGCTTAGTAATGAATTAAATCACCTAGAATCTGTTTTATCTCAAATTCTTGCTGAGTCTGAGACTTTACGTAGATGCTATTTTTCCAGTAATTATTAGGTTATTATTTCTCAGTTTCTGGGGTTATCCATCATATCACTCAATGCAAAGTTATGTTCCTGACAAGCAGATAAATGGCTTATGGAAACTTTCTATGTAAACCAATAGAATGCCTGAATGTTTTCTTAGAGCTGGTATCAGTATTATTATCCTTTATGCCATAAACAAGTTTAATTGGACTTTAATGAGTGCCTCAGATGTTTCAAAGTACTTAATTTTATGGCTCTATTTCGCCTGTTTATATAGTTCTATTATTTTATTCTAAGCTTTTCTCGCTTATCACCATGGAGTTCTTCATAGTTTAATATTTGAATGTTCTTGAAAAACTTGATGTCTATCAATAATAAAATCTTCCTTCTATAAAGAGAGACGACATAGCAACAATTTTAAACATATTTCTTACATTTCTTTTCATCTTATTCTTCACTACCTACTTTAAAATTTTATAAAGAATAAATGTTTTAAGGAAATGTTCGAACATAAGCGCTATCTTGTGTCAATGGATTTATTTTTCAGAGGTCACAATTGACAACTCAGCGAAATTGGTTCACCTTAAAAGTTAACTTTCGTCAGGTAATAAATAATAAATCCGATCCTCTCAAACTGTCAGATAAAAAATGAAGTTTTTCTCTTATGTGATTTTGGTTTTTTTAAACAAATCATCAACAGCCCATTCATGATTAATCATTTTTTATTAATAAATGTGGTATTTAAATAATAATAATAATAATAAGGCTTAGCGAACCCGAAGGTTCGATGCCGACACCACCAATCGCTTGTTACACACCTCCCTCCACCGTTCGCCGTCCAAACAGCGTTCTTCTTAGGAGATTCGAGGTCTTCTTCTCGGTCTTCTCTCTAACACGACAGTCCCATACCTCTTTCTTCGGCTCTGCACCGATACATACGGAGAAGGTGCCCAAACCATCTTAACTTATATTCCTTTATTATGGTTTGTCCCGCTTAGTCTTTTCCTCAACCTTTCGCAGGTATTTTATCTCTTATACATACTTGCTGAAATTTAATAATGTATCAGTGACGAAATTTTAACTAGTTATTGCTGTACCATAATAGAATATTTTATAAAATGTTAGGCTTTTTAATATTTGTCCTGATTTGATTTTAATTTGTCTTTCTAATTTTTTATATAATATAGGTACTACGGAGTTAAACGCAAACTTGTGCAAAATAACAAATTTTGTCAGCAACCACCATTGTGCAATTTTACGTGGATCGATTATTGCTTGAATAAGTACCGTACAGTTTTATATAAGTCTAGGAAGCACACACTCATAAAGTTTTGTGGCTGAAGAGAAATAAATATAAAGATGTAATTGTTTTTTTTATTTCATGGTCCTTTTCGTCGTAAATGTAGCGAACGCCACAAGCGGATACAGGATTTCATTTTGGGTGACCTTCAGACCGAAAGCTTGAGTTTTCATATATATATATATATATATATATATATATATATATATATATATATATATATATTTATAACGATAATTAATTTGAAAAAAAAGTAGAAAGAAATTTACTACCTACATGACATGGTGTTTAAGTGATTCTTGATATCCTATTGAATGCAATTACACAAACAATAATACTTTAAGATATAGTTTTTAATATTTTTTCTATAAAACATGGTTATTTTTAAATTTGGGGAGAGGGGTGCTTCAGCCTGAAAGCCCCTCTCCCACCGTAGATCCTGACACGTAGGTCGGCGAGTCGCATGGTTCCAATATCTGCGATAATCATTGGCCAGTTAGTTGCTAATCTGTTTGCCCTAAGGCTTATGTTACTGATAGCATTTTGGTGCGTAGGTGTGAGGTTAGTTGGGGATAGTTGATTGATTGGATGCAGGATATCATGGCAAATATCGTCAAGATACATTAGCTACTATATATTAGAACGGAACTAATAATCGGACCATACATTGTCTTTACCATTGACGTCACGGACTTACCTACGATCTATTTATAGCGAAAATTGCCGATAGGTTTATTGGAAAGAAAGGGATGTTGGTCCTCTCTGAACGAATTCAACAGTATTGCTAACGCATCGCCCGACATTAACACTGATAGAAGCCTTTGAATAATTGTTGTTATATGTTTACATATATAAAGTAGAGTAATGAATGTTTTTCCTTTTTATAAGTTAAACATGAGTTGTTTATTAGGAGTTACTTTGTACATAGATCATTTTATGTTTTTTTTCCCCAAGGGGTTGTTTGGGTATGGTTGTGACATATTTTCTAGGTTAAGTTATGACACAAGTAAAATTTTTTTTGTTTGCTTTTAGATACCTAGAAAACGATCGAAGAAGACAAAGTTGATTCTTCCACAAATCATGCCTTATTTGATATAAGCGATTAAATTGTTCCATAATGTTACTTAATACAATAAAAGTGATTTGAGATTTTTTTTTTTTTTGTTCCTCTCCCCTTCCTTGCCTTTAAGGCTATACGGGGTTTTCCAGGCCAGGAAATAAGAGCAGAGACTCCTCCGGCACCAGAAAGCGAACTCGTGACTATTTTTGCCTAGTTATCTCATGTGCCGGTTTGCCGGGCAACGGCGGTGCTGTGCACACACTAACCCATTCCGCCACCCCGCTCTCTTTTATTTTTAATCTGTCACTGTCAATCTCAAGCACTGTCATAACCGTCCTTGGGTTGGGGTCGGTTGTAACAGTTTACGTTTTTTGTCTAATTTGCTCCTAAAGGAGAACCACTTGACTTGCGGACAAAATTTTAATATTTATGCGTAGTCAAGTGTCAATACTCTTTACTATAAAAAAACACCTTTATTCTATCAAAAGTGAGGACGATTAAATGAAAATTGTCATAACCGTAACCAGCCTCCCCTGATGTAAGTCAAACTGTTCCTTTTTTTTTTTTTTTTGTTTATTATTTTCACTATTGAACCTTTGTAATAGATCAAGAAAAAAAAATTAAACCCACTCAAAATTTGATGTTTTGAGTTTCAAGATACGGAGAATCAGAAAATCGAATAAATAAAAAAATCTGTTCGATAACCATCCAATAAAGTGCAGAAACGTACTATTTTTTTAATGGCTTTTATTAAATTGTAGTAAGGTTTTACGTGTTTTTATTGAGATTCGTCACTACTTCCTGAATACACTTTCGTATGATTCATCATTAATAAAAATCCATCCCTCCATAGAGCCGGAAAAGAAATCTATACTCTATTATTTTATATATAAAGTAAATACTTTATTCATATTACTATCTTGAATAGATAGCATTTAATAATAAATTAAAATATATTTGACTCACCTGTCTCTCGAATACTTTTTCATATTATCAGAAATTTCTTATGGTAGCCACGTTTCGGTGAGCCAAACGAAGAGAAAATGAGTTGATTAGATGTTGTGGTGGTGGTAACAACCAACTCTTCTGGGAAGCGTCGCCACTGATGAGCTCGAAGGTTTCCACTCAATCGTCACGTTAATTAATTCAGTTTCATGCTTCGTTGCAATATTTTTTTATATGTTTAATTTTGGTCTGAGCTAATTAAAGTCATTAACGTTGTGTATTTTACATATTTAAAATATTATAATGACCATAGGAGCAGCCGATCTATTGTGGTCGGGGGTCAATTATGTATAACAATTATGAGTAACAATTAGGATAATCAACATAATTATTCATAAACGAACAATATAATGTATCGATGTATTGATGTACTATGTATCGATGGATCAGTTTAAAACTGAACCAACTCAAAAATCATTGGTTTTCAGTTTTCTTCTGATACCTATGGCCTGTGATCTCTTCTTCGAAACGGCACAATTTCAAAATGCTATCAGCATCAGTGTAAAAGTTGCTGTTTCAGTATGTTATATTTCATTTAATTGTTTTAAGTTTTTCCAAATTGTTCTGGTTCATTTATCTCAAAACCTTGACTTTTGAGTTGTTTTAGTTTTGAAGTAATCCATCGATATAGCAAACAAATTTTTATATACATATGGTTATATATTAGTTTTTTTTTGTTTTTTTGCTTATGTGTATATTCGAAAATGCATTAACAAAGCCACTGAGTATATTACATTTTTACTTTCCTAGGTACCTAGTGGTAAGAAAAGTATTGGGATGGGGTCAAATTTTCGAACAGATTTTGTTATTTTTTTATTTATTTTGTAGGGTTTTAACTAGTGATGCCCATGATACAAATTGGATTCTCCCTGCGCAATAGCTGTTGCGCA